GGTTAAACGTTTTTAATACTAGGATTATGGATATCTTTCTTAAAATCATCTTTATACTTAGATCCGCTATAGTTTATTACTTTACTCGTACGCATTGAGTACCACGTGTTAAAAAAACACGTGATTTGGCTATGATAAAGTTATGTACACTATGTAGGTATATAATGTAATTATATGGAATACAGCCAGCTTCACATTGTTGTTTCATTATTCAACAATACCATATAGTATTACATAATAAAGATTAAACGTAATTAAAAATTGGTACAGTTTTGTAGAAGAAATATACATATATATATATTTACACATATATATTTAAAAAATTTATCTTGACGGGGCAACTAAGTTATGTATTCTCTTCCATCTAGTCTATTCCATTTGATTTTTTTAAATTAATATGGGATTTTCAATTATCTAATATGATTTAAAATATATGTATGTATAAAGAATTCAGTATCTTGTATAGAGTTTATTTCGTAAAATTTAAAAGTTTGCTTAAAGATCAGTTTTAATGGATGTTTCAATGCATTGAAATGAAATTATAAATTACATACTTTTAATTTAAAATACTTTTTGTTTGAAAATTAATATGACATTAACAACGGAGTTAACTCGTGCAGATTTTAATTATAATAGCCAAAATCGGTTTAGAGTCAGTGAAGATACAGCGTAAAGTATTTATACTTAACTATGTATTCAACATTAAATTAAGAAACTTTTCTTTGAATTGCTGTAGGCCTTTAGATATTACCCTTGATAGAATAGTGACAACAGTCTCTTTATGTAATGTTATAAACAATACTATGGACACCTTACAATATAAATAAATAAGTTCACGTCACGACTAATGGAAATAATTGTGATGTATATAATATTCAACATATCCATATATTTTTAATGAAATCTTAAACCAGCCTGTGCTTAAATTACTTAAAATTTTATATGTCAAATTTTTTCTTTCAAAAATTTTCTCTAACTATTAAATTTCTCCAAAATTACTCTAAGACACAAACTCTTACCCGAACTTTAGAAAAATACACACAATCTGCCAACATTGCTGTCAATGGTTGCTTCTTAACACACCTAATGCATAAAATGTCACTAGGTATGTCCCAATTTGATTGGCGCCGATCCAATCTCAAACTGGTTTAGAGTATAATGAAATTAACAAACGATATCTGGATTGTATTATATACTCGTAGGGCTACCTCTATCTTACTTCTATCGTATCAACTATTTTTGATTGTAACATTAGCTGCGCCCGCAATTTCGACTTATACAAAAGTCGATTGCTTGGGTACCTCTGTCCCATTCGTGTTTCTACCGTGAAGCAGTTGTGTTTGCATGGCTGTGTTTCGGTTTGAAGGGTGGGATATGGCGTGAATTTACAGGATACAGAGGAATAACACCTAAGTTCTCAGGAATGGCAACGCAAGGGGGGTATCATAGGCGAAACAGTATTCTCTGTTATGTCCATGATACTGCTCATGTCTATAGGCGACGGTTACCACTTTCCATCAGGTTGGCCGTCAGTTTGTTTGCCATTCTAAGTCGTATAAAAATCTTATAAATTGATTAAGATTAATGGGCAAGAAATTATGATAACATGCCCTTTTTATATTATTTATTTAAACCATTCTTAATTAACCATTTCTCATATTAAATACTACGTATTTTAATGTAAAAATTCCATGATAACTGTTCTTAATATCAGCGTATTTAATATGCCATTTAATTAACGTGCCTATGCCAGTATTGTGTTAAACTTTTAGGAAAGGAAAAGTTAATAAAAAAGTCTATTGACATAACTTTAACTTAAAAAAGACTGTTTTCATTTGAACGGTATTTTTTCGTGTATTTTTATGTCTTCGCCAATTTTAAACTTTTTGGTTTTCTCTTTTACAATTAATAGGTATAGTATGCCTATATTATTTTATTGCTCAATAATATTATATTATCTATGGTATATACTATTAACATTAAGAGAAAACTGAGCAAATGTCCAGAGCATTGTAAACGAGGGACAGCAAATTAGAAGAGGGAGTATGACATGTTTTCGTTTAAAAATATTTAGGTTACTATTTATTCGAAAGAAGAAATTTACTTTTCTATTAATAACGAGAGCAAACATTACAAATGTGTAACTGTGACTAATATTAGATACCTAGAAGTACACAACAACATTATAGACTAGACAGTTTTATCTACGAGGCAAAGTAGTTATTAATTATGTAATATAGTGATGACATACATGTGTATGTAATACGTTTATCTGATTCACCCTTGATATTATTATGTTGGCATATTCACGTAGGACAAAGTATTTTAAACGCTAGCGCGTGCTCTCTCTGCGTTGCGTTGATCAATCTGTACGGAAATATACAAGTCCGAAGCTTTACTAATAGACTTTTGTTTATTATTAAGAAAATTTTATTTAGCTTACACCTTATGGTGACGTCATCATCATCATCATTTCAGCTATTATCCATCCACTGCTGGATATAAGTCTCACCCATAGACTGCCCCATAAAGAACGGTCCTGAGCCACCTGCATCCACTGACTCTTGTATTATGAAAGACTTATGATGACGTAGTAAGAGAATAATTGAGAGTAAGAAATAATTGTATCTCTGTACGAGTATAAGACATAAGAGTCGACTAGTTTTGGCCTTTTTCCAGTTAAGAGGGAAGGAATAAGACATACAAGGGATGCAAGGAACTCAAAAGAACATCTGTTTTATTAGTAGAATTGCTATTTATACCGCTTAATGAATATATTCTGGGCATACAGACGGAGTCGCGGGTACAAGTTAATAATATTTTACATTTTATACTAGACTTTATATTGAGTTGACCTATGTAGAGCAAGGGCATCTTCTCTCTTTCTTCTTAGTTTATCAATTAGCTTTGTGCTTGCATGGCCGTGTTTTGATTTGAAGGGCGCTGTTTCGACATGACAGTGAAATTACAGGATATGGAGACATAAAAATCTAGTCCTCAGGACTGACAATGCACGAGGAGTATTTGTACTATACGCACTATACTGCATTCTGCATTCCAAGATATACATGATACTTGTATTTCATACATATATACTCTTATTATATTTATATTGTAACACGTGACATTCCAAAAATGTAATAGAATTTTTTACATGATTAATGAAAGAAATATAAAAAAAAAAAATTATATACAAGTATGATAGAGATAGTCACAAAATTTTATCAGGTGAGTCTTGTGAATTGTAGTACTCCGTTCCCAAAAACAATCCGCAAGTACATGTAAAGTGGTATTTTTTTCCGATTTGCGCGTCGGATCTGTCGTAGGTATAACGCTCTCTCTCTAGGTTCACAAGCAAAGACCAATGGTCCCCAGTCAAAAAGCATATTAAAAGTCATATTTTTATATCTTGCTTATTTTAATAATTTATGAATATCAGTCTGGTGATAACATATCTGAAGGTCACTTTAAATCTGATCAAATAAATGGATAAGGTACTGTAATGGTTAAATATTGTAGAACATGATAGTAAATATACATATTTATATTTAGTTAAATTATATAATATTTTTATTTATTAAATTATAATATTTAGTCTTGAAACGCCAGATACAGGCAGGTTATACTCTTCGGTCTTATGTATAATCTGCCGTAGCGAGTATATATATATATATATATATATATATATATATATATATATATATATATATATATATATATATATATATATATATATATATATATATATATATATATATATATAAACATGGCTGTGTATCGGTTTGAAGGTATCGTACCCTACGTACGAATGCATAACACCTCCATCAGGTGGGCCGTTAATTTGCTTGCCCTTCTTAGTTTATCAAATAATCCTCTAGATATAGAGTGGGTATAGTTACTCTTCATGTTAAAATTCTCTTCATCTTTTTATATTTAAACACATTTATTGTTACAATGTTTTATCTAGAAAGTTGTTTGATTTCATTCACAGAAATTTGTCCGAGATCAGATTAAGATTTTCGAGGAAGTTTTTGATTATTCCGTGAAGTCGTTCCTTCCTATTTTGTAAAGTTAAATTGATGTCTGAGTATACCTATTTATATGGCATAACATATTTTTAACATTGTAAATTGTATAAAATTATTTTTATCAATTTCATGCACGTAATATAATAAAGAAATATGATAGTATTATGCTCAATGTACGTCTTTGCATTTTATATTAACTGATAAAAAAATGATGTATCTTTCAAATAATATTTTTGTTGATATTAAGCTGTAAAGTAGATTGATAATAAAAAGGACTTTCCGGCTGTGCACTGTTGATTTGATAGCAGTGATAAAAGTTCGTAAATAAACAGTTGTTGCCATATCGGCTGATGTTTTAAACTTGCAAAAACTACGCATGTTGATTATGGCATAGCTGCAAAGGCATGTGTATGTTAAATGTAGATTATGATATGATATCTATGTGTGTGTTGTCAAAGATTACAATATTATAATTGTATTAAACTTTTATTTCTTGTAATATATGAGTAAGCGTTTTATTTAATTTTTTATTGGTATTCCTTACTATAATATAATATATGCATTTTAGTATATAATAGTGCGCCACCTACTTTATGTCTTTTTTCTTAATGCTCTCTACCCAAAGGTTATTAAGAAGAGATTGCTTAGCGATAAAGCTGCCATTTGTGTCATTTCCTATTAGTGATAATAAATAATAAATAAACAACAACAGAAAGAAAAATATAAAACAAAAAGTAATCTAAAAGCTATTCTCAACTCAATATGTCACTTTAGTTTTCAATTTCTAACGCCACGACTTCAAATAAACACATTCCAATGAAATCTTGTTCAAATCAATGTTACCTACGCCAACACATCTGTTTTATTATTCTATGTATGTTTTGATGTGACGTGGCCATGTGTAACGTGTTTACACTATAACATATCTATGTGTGAGTGTACAGCCGGCGTACGTATTTATTTTAGGCACTGGCTACACCCGACTCAGTCCTTCTTGTCTTCCCGTCCGACCAACAGTGAGAGTGCTTGTGAAAATTGAACTCTTAGTATTAAAGTATAAAGTTGAAAATGTCTGCATCACCGATTGCAAGGCAAGCTACTCACAGCCAGGCCATCCCGTCAAGGAGGGTGCTCATTACGGACCCTGCGCAGATGCCTGATGTATACTCAAGTACTCCGGGTGGCACTCTTTATTCAACTACACCGGGAGGTGAGAATTTTATTGGCATATTTTGTTATTAATCAACACTTTTATAATGAATGCATTAAGATTAAAAGATACAAACTTTTCCAATAAGTTTAATGTAAGTTTGAATATTCACATTATTTATATGAAATTAACGTAAGTAAATGACCTAATAGAAACAGGTTTGTATACAATAAAAGCTAAGTAGACATTTGTCGTAGGCAGTGTGCCTTTCAAATTAATAATGCTCTTACAAAGCCCTCGCATTCCTAACACTAAAACAAGAAAGTAGATGACATGATACATAAAACTATCCATCTCATAGTCAGACCCCTTGTGTGATTAGAAGAGACTAACGGTTAACGTGGTTAATATTAAAAAGTAAATTAATTACTTTTCTTATAAAATTTAAATAAAATCAACCAGTGAACGCATCAATTAATAAACTTATAAAACAAATAAATTAATTTACAAAATCAATCAATATTGTTTTCATAAATGAATTAGTTAATAGGTATCTAAATTGTATATAAACAAAACAAAAACTGAGCTAAATAAACAAAGATATGTTATGTCTAATACCTAGATTTATGCATAATTATTAAACGGCACCAGTTCGTGTCGGTTCTAGCCGGTTTTATCCAATTAATTAGACACTTTTGAGTCTAATATACCTCTATAATCTGACCTCGGTGTATTAGGGTTAATAAAGACTATACAGATCAGAGACGTGTTACACTATATTTAGACGTGACAACGACCTTTTCTTTTCTGCGTAGTTCGCTCTGCATCGCTCCACGTGCTTTGAAAACCTTCATTTATACTATATTCTGTATTGTGATAATGAATTGACGCAGATGTTTTTATGAACGCATATTAAATTATATGTTACATTGTTTATATTATCATGTACTAATGTCTATTCATTGTATGAATATTTTATTTCTAAACACATTCAATAAAATTTATCTATGAAATTGTTCGTATTACATTTTATATATTTTACAAAATGAAGATATCTACACAAAGATAGGTCCTAAATGAAATTACACGCAAATGTACTTACCTATTTGTAAGATTGACAGTTTATTTTCTATCTGATAAGAATTTTATAGGTATATTTATGATAAAAAATAGTCGCTAACCTCGGTGAATAGCCGAGTTATCGGCAGTCTCGGTAGATTGCGAACAATACGAGTCGGGCCGTGTCGAACGTAATCGCCAGTATTCGTTGTGCGTGGTGTTATCTGAAATAAACAAGGCTAGAAGTGTTGTGTTTGTGTTGGAGAGACGGTTACGTAACTCACCGCATGGCACTGAATAATAAATACATGTACACATGGAGAAAGACGATGTACACCTTAATTATATGTTAATAAGCGTGCCACTTATTATAATATAATTGGGTACTACTTAAAATGCCGACTGTGATGCTATAAAAGCTTGAAAGAAGTTTGCTGTCAAGCAGACCTCTTTCGTAGGTATTTTTTCACTTCAAAACGAAAACTCAAACTAAGTACAGAATAAGTAAATTTGGAGGGTTTAGTCAGTAGTTGTCACGTTTCTCAAGCTTATTGGCAACTACAATTAGGCTTTGAAGATATTTTAAGAGGGACGTTGCTGCCCTTTTCTCGCTCTTTCTTAGTTGACTATTACGATACCCAAGGAAAAGGAGAGGTAACCTATTCTATGCCGGGACCGCACTTGAGTTAGCTTAGTAGGTAAAAATAATAATATGTATTATTAATGAAACATAAATAAATTAAGTAATAATAATGTAGCGTAATAGAAAAACAAACTTTTTTATTGTAGGTATGTTTTATTTATTCACTTCTACGTATAATATAAGACAATAAACAATACTACAGTAAATAAATTTGGCATGTCTTTGTACAAAAAAGATTGATGTGTGTGTGATTGTGCCAAATTTAAAGAATTAGAAAGAAAAAAAAAAGATTATACAGCACAAAATTGACGCGAAGTACACTATATACTAGGTAGTTAAGATATCTATTTGTATTTATATCTATGTTAAAAAATAATATAAACGTGTCTATAGAATATTACAATGTAGAGCCGCTATTTACTTTACAAAAGATGTTGGCGAGATTAATATGAATTAGATTTATCGAGTTGAGGGTCACGAATCGTCATGACTATGAAATGAAGCAGATTACATACAACTTTTATACTTACATGTGTATTTATTAAAATAAATAAATAAAAATGCTCACTATTTTAATTTCTGACGGAATGCTCAGAATCTGTTTCATAAAGATAAAAGTGGAGTGGTCACTATTGAAGTAATATGTATTATGTAAATACGTAGTTTATAAATATCTCAATGTTGGTAACCTTGCCTACAAAATCGGTATATGCAAGGGGGACACCAGTGAAAGATTGAAACTAGTAAAGAAAAAAAAAAGTGACGATGAGTTTACACAGTTAGTCAATCGTGAAGAATTTATGAGAAGAAGAAAGATATTTATGATAGGATGTATCGCTAGCAATGGAGCTGTCCTCGTTACTAATAATCTCTTTCCTCCCCACTAAAGAGTTAGTTAATAACCTAAATTTACAAAGTTTTTGGTGTTAGCTAAATTCGAACCCACAGCCTTGGAAGTCTATTAGTCTGGGTAGTTTATCTTTTTTTTTTTTTAATGAATGACAATGAAGTGGGAACCGCCTGCGCTAACAATATACACCGGCGGGGCACCAATGAGAGATGATAGGTGACAATAAAGTGAGCCTATCTGCATCGTGATAAAAACACCTGGAATTCAACACGATGATTTCCAGGGGGAACTACGTGGAGGTCGACCTGATAGGGTATATTGCAAGCAATGGGGCTGGTAGTCCGCATTACTAACAAACTCTTCCCCCCGGTAGTTTATCATTAGGCCAAACTGCTTTCTAATAAAATTGATCATAATACGTTTGTTGTTACTAAAGATTTAACAATATTAATAAAAATCTAAATTTGTCTATACTAATTCTTATTTAGTAATTATTTCATCATCCAATAATAATTAATGATCATATTGAATGAGACTAATGAGAGAAGTAATCACTGAACAAGTTTTGTACTACTGAATGAATAGTAATTTGGAAAAAAATGACGTTTATACGATTCTCATCACACATTATTTACGATAACGATTTGAAATTTAAACTGAGAATTTATGGACAATAAAATAATTGTCGTACGTACTGATTGATGACACAAGTGACATGTTCCTTTAAGCAGCTTTTTTTGTTTACGATTTAAATTTGATATTTGACCTAAGAATTCATAGACAACAGTTATGTAATTATTCATATATGAGCCAAAGGTATCTTGTTACATGTAACAGTAGATTTACAAGTACCTATAATTTACTTTTATCTAGTTTAAAAAATAACATCACGGGCTGTGTTAAATATCATATAGGTATCAATGGTACTTAATGCCAATTCATTAATATTAATTAAGTACTTACGTTCGTTATTATAAAGTTTTAGACGTAGAAGAAATGAAATTCCTAATTTAATTTTTAGGATAATGTTCTAAAACTAAAAAAAAAAAAAAATGTATTACTTAACTACTGTAATTCCTGATAGAGTAGTCACGCGAACAATTCGCCGAGTGCATTTGATATTTTTTTTTAAATGTTTAGACCATAGACAAGCTATCAGTTTACAATATCTTTATATTATTCAACGATCATATATGTATGTATATAGTTTTAAATTATTATTATTAGAGAGACGCATAAGAATTTTACCTGCTGTTGCATCCGTCCCTACTATAAACTCATTTTTTTTTGGGATTAATGGTAGACTGCGTCTCATGAAATAGTTCCTTTTGGTAGCTACCCTTTGAGTGGATTGTAAAATTGAACCTAATGTGGTCGCTAATAGCGTTCTGTTTGAAGAGGCCAACAAGTTTATGCTGTTTAAAAGTTAAATTGAACCTTATTATCGAAAAGAATAAATGCTCTTTTATTTTTAATTGAACTAAATTATTATGTGATTCACCCTATCACGATATGTAGAAATTTTTTATGGTTTTTTTTTGTAATTATCAAAAATTCAGTGACATTTAAATACTCAGGTACTTTGTACGGGGCACCAGTGAGAGATGATAGGTGAGGATGAAGCGTCAGTTGCTCGGTCGTGACGAATTCATCAAAAATTTATCGCGATGGTTTCCAGGGGGAACCGCGTGGAGGTCGATCTGTTAGGGTATATTGCTAGTAATATGTAAGTTGGATCTCACTACTAATAATTCCTGTCTCCCCATCGTTGAGTGGATTACAAGTAATAAGCAAAGAAAGGAGAAACAAGACGCGTATAGGAACTTTGTTATACACTATTTAAAGTTGAATCATAGAGCCGGATTAGACGCACAGATGTGAATATTAATAGATAAGTAAGTAAGGATCAAGTAATAATAAGAACATTATTTGTGTATAAATATATACACAAAATAAGGAAGTCACGTAGTCACAAGGTCTTGTAGTTGTTAGCATAGTTTTGTTCTATTATGTGAAAATTTAAAACCATGTGTTTTTAAAACATCAAGCAACTTCAAAAAGAAAAAGATTCTCAATTCGGTTGTGTCTTTTTTTTCTCTTTTTATGTTTGTTACCTCATAATTCTGTCAATTTGTGAATTGGTAAATCCTTTTTTTTATGAAAGGATTAACTTACAGATTAGCTCCGTAGAAATTTTATTAAATCGGTTCAGTAGTTTAGTTTCTAAATCAAAATAAATGGTTTTGTTGTAAATAAAGTCGGTTTTTTTCAAGAGGCGCAATCTTTATTGTTTTAAAATTGTAAAAATAGAAGGCAATTAATATATTTTTACACAATTCTGCAATTTTAGTTATTTGGATATGTCACTTTAGAGAGATCATTTTATTGTCAACAACAATGATAATAGTAGTTAAAAAAAATAAAAAAAAAATCAATACACATTTTGTACTTTAATCTGAACTTAGTAATTTAACACTACACAATATACATCATTAGTACATTACTGTAATGATTTACGCATTTGCCTATACCGTCATTCAGGCATTAAAATTTAGAAAAAAAAATATTCGAAAGATTTGTTTTATATCATAATATTTTTTTAGATTTTTTAAATGAATTTTGAAAACGATTGTTTTAGATTTCTTTTGGACACTTTTGAAAATTACAGTTTAGATAAAACGATAACAAGAATTTAAACGAATACAAGTATTTGCTAACAATGTTTCATTTAGTGAGAAGTTCTGGGTGTAATAAATCTATTATCCTATTAATATAACAAAATGCGAAAGTTTGTAACGATGGATGGATGGATTTCTGTTACACAGTTGTTGGACAGAAAAACTGCCGAATGGGTTTGAATGAAATTTGGTACACGGATAGGTTATAGCCTAATTTGCGCATAGGATACTTTATGTACTGATTCACGTGAGCGAAGCCGTGGTATACAGCTAGTACATTATAAAGATATCGAGTTGTATGCGCTGTAAACTGTCCACTTCTGAACATAGGCCTTCCCTTATTAGAGGGGTTTGTCAGTAATTGCCAAGCTTGGCAGGCGGGTTGGCAAGTGCAGATAGGCTTTGGTTATGTTTTAAAAGGGATGCTGCTGCCTATCCTTTGACCATTAAGTTTCCTAAGTCATCTTTTACAACACATACGGTAAAGGAAAATTACAATATATATAACATAAAATATATTTTGTAATAAGCAGAAAGTGGGGGGAAAGGGATTGTTAGTAATGGAGACTGAGAATCCCACTGCTAGCAATATACCCAACTAGGTCGACCTCCTCGCGGTTCTTCCTGGAAATTATTATGGTTAATTCCTGATGAATTCATCATGATAGGCTAACTGGCCTGTTTTCATTCTCATCTATCACCCTTCACTGGTGCTCCGCCAGCGTATCCCGTTAGCGCAGGCGGGGTTACCATATCATTTTCACCCATCAAAAAAAAAATAAGCATGAAGTATGACATCCCAGACAGATTTCTGTGGTTTTTGATCTGTATGTTTGTTTATTAGGTGAAAATAAATAAAAAAGATGTAAAGGACTATGTAGAGACAGTTGTAAAAGATTTTGGAATTAGATGAAAGCGTATCGCCTCATGTTTTGACTACAAATCAAATAAATCATGGCGTGGACACTTGTTTTGTGATGTTTATTTAATTTGTGGAATATAAATAGGCTAGTAGCAGTGCAAAACGTGGCCAACAGAAATAAACAGAGAAAGCTGAGGCTAATGAGTATAGTTCTAATTACGGTTACTAACAAGTGCATATGACTAAGTTACTTAAGTTACAGTTATTTATTTACTTAAGTTATACTTACTTTGAAAGGTCTTTTAAATTGAGAGCCTTTTTTGTCAAAGGCTAATAAATTCAAATTCAAATCATTTCTTTTCAAATAGACTTATTTACAAGTGCTTTTAAATCGTCATTTTTTCTACGAATGCAGTGTTTCGAAAAGTTGATATCTGTTAAGAAGAGTCCGCATGTAACTCAACAGTTGCTCTTTTAATAATAGAAAATTTAAATAAAATTTCTTGCTGAAGACCAGAAGGCGCTTACTTTATAAATTGCGCATTTATAAATGTCATAATAGATATTTTAATCAATATTTTAAATTAATGCAATTTATGATGCTATTTTATTGATACACACAAAAAAAAAATAATATAAGGGATCTCTAAAATCGAAAATAATTTCTTTTGAACATTACGAGCAGTAATTCGTTTAGAAAACAATGGATAGTTTATGGAACTACCTATTTTAATTTACATTCGCAAATTAAAAATTAAGTATAAATTATATTTATTTTTTAAACACGATATGTGTATAAGACGGATTTAATGCTAAATGCATTCTCTCTCATTCAAACTTAGAGAAGTGTTAAAATAAATAATAATATATAGTTTCATAATAAATATATTCTGATTTATTATGCAATTGATGATACAGAGCCGGTATATGCAGTTTATATTACTAAACTACCGATCCGCCATTAAAAAAAAATAACCTAAAATGTGGCAAAACCAGTTCTTTTAATTTACAAAATTAAACTTCTGTATCGACTTTGATTGAATTTCTATGAAATCAATCTAACAGTATATCTTTTCAGATAAAAGGGAATTTTCCAAATCGGTTTATAACTGACATAGTTATGCGGCAATAAACATAAAAAGATACCACTTAATTAACAACTTCCTATCTTTATAGTCGATTGAAAATGACAAAAAATGTTGAGTCACTTATACTAACATATGTATAACCCAGATGTGAAGTTTAATTTTTTTGGCGTTTTCTAACCCATGTGACGTTCAGTTTCACTTGTAAAACTGTTTCTTAAAATGATGTTTATGGTTCTGATTTTATCTATTATTATTTACTAGCTTTTACCTTGACGTATGACTTAGTTTGGGTTACCGGGATTTGTTCGCTGACTGGGATAAAAAAATAGCCTGTTTTATTTATGCAATTTAAAATGGCAAACAAGCTAACGACCCATCTGATGGAAAGTAGTAACTGTCAACTATATACATAAACAGTACCATGGACATAACAGAATATACTGTGTCGCCCATGATACCCTTTATGCGTTACTATTTCTGTGGACTAATGTCCTCCATCCCATGTAGTATGTGTATACCAAATTGCACAGTGATTGGTCAGAATCTACAATAATAATATATAATGGGATAATTATTTTTTATAAATATTCTAATGGATATTTTATTGTCTATTTCAGGAACAAGGATCGTCTACGAAAGATCGTTTATGATGTCCCTCCGACAATCGCCCATATCACAGACCCCACCGAAGTGTCCTTTACCAGCTGGCTTAATGAAGAATCCTGCCTCTGGTCCCCACCTGCAGACCTCGCCTGCACAGAAGACGCGCTCGAATTCCATATCCTTTGACGAGTCACAGGAAACATTCAGCATGGATCTCTAGTTAGGTTAAGATATCGAAGTAACTGGAAACTAATGCATTTATTTTAGTAAGGAAAATTATTCTGCTAATGCTTATAGAAAACATGTAAGAAGATCAATATCCTGGTAGATCTTTCTAGATGCAATTAAAATTACTGTAGTAATTTTTTCATCGAAATGGCGATAGCTGGATGGTATGATTATTTGCCATCATTGTGGTCTGACGATAAACAGTTATTATAGCCATGGATGCCTGCAACACTAAGGTTATCCACATACACGTTTCTTCAGAGTCGAAGAAACCTTATTCAGTTTTTGAAAACCTTAGCTAAAAGGTCATTTCACGCTCCCTGGTCAGAGAACAATTAGTGTATGATTTAAACAAGGCGTCGAACGATTTTTTGGAAGTATTCTGGAATGTGAAGCAACTACTTTGAAAGACTAGGGTTTATTGTTCCAATCTCTTTATAGTTTCATTGAATTCTGAAACTTAGTTTTTCGTAAACTGCAGAAATCTTAGACAGTTTTAATAACAATTATTTTCTTATAACTAGTTAAAATATCATGAAATATTCTTACATATCCATGTATTATGTAAATTAAGTATTATAAGTACAAGTACTTATTCGTAGTTTTTGAGTGCAGAGGATGTTTTAAAAAAAAACAAATGACAAATGTACCTACACGTAACATTTATGTAAATGTTATGTAACAAACGACAATAAACTGAAATAGCTGAAAAACTTAGCGAGCATTAGTTTTCAGTGAAATCATAAGCCAAGATATTATGTTACTTTATTGTAAGCAAAGACTGTTGTATTGCTATGCTTATTATTCGTCTTGGCTTGTTAGTGTTAAGTATAAATCTAGGTTTAAAGCGTGACTGAACCGGCGTTCAAAACGCAATACGTCCTTTGCTGTCCATATAATGCAATATTAAAAATATATATATACAAAATAAAAAAAAAACACTCATAAAAAAATATGTAACGAAAATTTTTAATGGAATGGTTGTAACGTTGTGACTGTCAAAAAATGGCGGCAAAGGATTTTTATTTGTAAATAATTACTTATTGTTTTATAGCGTTTGACGCACAGTTTTTAGGTGCTTAGTGTTTCTTTTTAGTTTTATAAGCAAGTGCCACTTCGGTGGAAGTAAATACTTGTTCAATGATTTACTTCGTGAACTGGTGTTGCTATAATGTACGCAATCTCAAATAATAAATATGGCTGCGTTATAAGATATTTGAGATATACGACGTAATGGTCACAGATTGTTTTCTTAATCTACGATTGTACTTTTCTATTTAAATTGATGTGGTCTAATATTTTTAATATAATATAATTAGGATTTTACGGTGATTAGGTATAATTTTTCATATCAGGCAACATTATCTGATATTATCTGCCATTTAAAATGATTACTTATACACACCAGTTGCTATCCGTGATAGATGAATTTAGACACAATTATTATACTTATGACTATTATTATACTGTATAAATAGTTATGATAAATTTAAAACAGTTTAATTATATTACAGAGAAGACTTAATAATTTGTAGATACCTATTTTTAATTATGCTAGTGCAGTATTTTTCTACAATTTATTTTGTTAAATTATATTAATTCTATGTAGTTTACCGATTGATAGATTGTACCGAATCGCTGTATTTATCTGATGAAGCATTTAATTAATTATCATTAACTCAAAGTACCTACATTAATGTAACTAGACTCTCTTATCTGTATTAGTATTTGTTATTTACATAACCCAAAGACAAATGTTTGGGTGGTTTTGCATTAATTTACAATATGTACATTTCGAGTGTGAACATTATGTCATTGTTGATATTATTACTTACTATTATAACCACTCCGACTGCCAATATATTTGAAAATATAATAAAATACAAATGAACGATCTTGATTTTTTTCTTTATTTCCTTAAACTATTGTTGTATATACATATATTACAACATCTATAGAGCTACATTATGACAATATTATTCTTTTATTTGTATAAAAAGAAGGAGGCTAGGGAAAAGTTGTTAGTAATGGAGAGGTTAGTCCCCATTGCTATCAATATACCCCATCAGGTCGATCTCCACGTGGTTCCCCCTGGAATCACTCGTGACTAATTTATCGTTAAATTTGCCACGATGGGCTAACTGACCTGCCTTTTCATCCTCCTCTATTATTCCTCACTGGTGCCCTACCAGTATATACCGATAGCGCAAGCGGGGTTACCATTCCATTGTCATCCATTAAAAAAAAACAGAAGGAAGCTTACAATTTTTGACTCATGTTTTTTTGGACCATGGAGTTTTTTATTTATGGGTGATAATAGAATGATAACCCCGCCTGTGTTATTATTATACGCTGGCAGGGCATCAATGAGAGATGATAAGTGAGGATGAAAGTAAGTCTGTTGGCCCATTGTAACGAGTACAAACAAATAACAAAACAAGACAACCACGATGGTGTCCAAAGAGAACCGCATGGAAGTCAATCACATATGGTACAATGGATCTTTTAAACCCTAACTAACAATTCTAGGGGGGAAAGGGATTGTTAGCAATGGAGTTTGACAGACCCATTGTTAGCAATTTGCCCTATTAAGTCGACCTCCACCTGATTTCCCCTGTAAACCATCGTGAAAAATTCTTATTGAATTCGTCACGATGGGCTAACTGACCTGTTTCATCCTCACCTATCATACTTCACTGGTGCCCCGCCGGTGTATACCGATAGCGCGGGTGGAATTACCATTCCATTATCATCCATTAAAAAAAAAACTAACAATTCCATACCCCTGGCGGAGCATTAGTGAAAGTATATACCCATTCCAGAATGAAAGTAGGTTTGTTTTTTTTTATTCAACTTAGACAGGCAAACAAGCTGACGGCCCACCTGATGGAAAGTGGTAACCGTCGCCTATAGACATGAGCAGTACCATGGACATAACAGAGTATACTGTTTCGCCCATGATACCCCCCCATGCGTTGTCATTCCTGAGGACTCGGATGTCATTCCTCTGTACCCTGTAAATTCACACCATATCCCACCCGTCAAACCGAAACAGCCATGCAAACACAACTGCTCCACGGTAGAAACACGAATAGGACAGAGGTACCCAAGCAATCGACATTTGTACGAAGTCCCCAAGTAACGAATTGTAAAACAATTAATCCATTTGTTTTCATAGAAACTGCTTGGAGGCCAATTGCTAGCATTAGGGCTGTTAAACCCCATTACTGACGAACCCTTCCCCCATACAGCGTCAAGCGCATTGCTATTTGCGGCAAAAGGAGTTAAAACTGTAGGTATGTGTAAACAAACACCAGTAAGGCCAGTCTATTAATTAAAATTACTATATAATCAATAACATTATGATAATATAGTCGAAGATATGATAATAACATGAATATTAATAAGTATAACCGAAATGAAACCAGATAAAACACACCCAAAAGCGGATAAATCTAGTTCAACGAATGATTTATTAGCATCTGTTACAGGCATGTCTATGCTGTTCTCCGAAGCCTGTGGAATTTATACAAATATTTCTTTTTTTTTGTGTAGACTTAATTATGTACTTACTATCATTATAAATGTTGGGACACTTGATACGACACGAAGAACATATGAACATTATAATAGAAGGTAAGATAGAAGGAAGGAGGGGAAGAGGGAGACCGAGACATAGTTACATCAGGCAGATCAAGGAAGGAGTTGGTGTCGTGTCGTATCAAGAGGCGAAGAGACTCGTACTGTGTACTGTTAACACAGGTAGGCTTACCATTCCATTTTGACCCATTAAAAATAGTATTCTGCAAAAATTAAATTAGGTATAATAAAGTACATAACATTTTAAATTAACCGAACAACATTTTTAAATACGTTGAAAATCAATTTATTTTTATCAGAAAGAACTATTTATTATTATTCTATATTTTATGTGAGTTCATTGAACTCTGTTGTTTCAAATTGCATGACACGGTTGTGTACGAAAGAGCAAATTTCACGACTATGTTTATCGGTTTAGGACACATATTCGTTTAACTTGGCATGATGATCCCTCTGCGTACCCTCACCCTTAACGTTTTAATCTTCGTCGAACTAATATATGATGTTTTGCTGTCGTTTCAGATGATGTTAATAGAACCAGACGCCAGAACAATTTCATTGAATAAATTTAAATATTACACGTCTTTCTAAGATGATTTTCTTCATACTTAAGGAAGGCAAAATGCTCCAATACAATGGAAGCAATAAATTTTAATTCAAAAACACAGCAGTCACAAAGAAGAGAAAATACTACATTATTAAAAAATGGGAAAGAGACGGTTATTGACAAATATTGGTAATTGTATTTTTTTTTTATTGAATGGATTTCAAAGTGTGATTAGTATATTTTTTGTGTAATTATACTTATTTAATATAGTTGCATATTCCTTCCTTGTCCGTGGGTGTTGTAAGAGGCGATTAAGGGAAATTAATGCTCGACAGACGGGCAGTAGCGTCTCTATTAAAACATCACCGAAGCCTTATTGCGGTTGCGGACCCGCCTTCCAAGCGTGGTAACTACTGGCAAAACTACCCCCAAAGAGGAGGTCTTTTTTCTTTTTTTTTTATGGATGATAATGGAATGGTTGCCCCGCCTGCGCTATCGGTATTCGCTGGCGGGGCATCAGTGATAGATGACAGGTGAGGATGAAAGCAGGTCAATTAGCCCATCGTGACGAATTTCACAAGAATTAACCACGATGGTTTCCAGGGGGAACCACGTGGAAGTCGACCTGATAGGGTATATTGTTAGTAATGGAGCTGTTAGATCCCATTATTACCAATCCCTTCCCCGTAAGAGGCCTTTGTTTAACAGCGGATAGTTAATGGGTGATATGACGATGATGGAAATAATTGCATGCAATTGTTACGGTACAATACCTAATAAGCATTAAAAATTACATAATACGAAATGCGTATCGGTGAACATAACAACTTGAAAAGAGAGGTAGACATTATTGAAACGAGTAGAAATATTTGTCACGGTTCGAAATAATATAAAACATTCTTATGTATCACTGACTTATAGGAAGAGGGTTGCCATATACACAATATGATATTATATAAAATAACTGTGATACAGATAATATAATACTATACTAGTACTGTGATAACATTTTAAAATAATAAATTTAAATTTAAATTAGCATTATAATGAATTAAATTATAAATATCAATGCTGTAAATTTTCTATGTTTGAAACGATTATATATATTTATTTATTCCTTAATACAGGTATGTCTACGAGGTGGGCGTAATGGTAAAAGCATTCTTTCCCAGTTAACCTTAGAGAAGTGTTAGAATACTCGAATGCGGTACTACAGAGTTTTAATTTTATATATCGACATATATACTAAAATATATTTACATTCATAGATACACAAATAAATTTACGTAAATATCAAATATACTTATACACATAAAATATACTATATTTTAGACGAAGATGGGGGTAATAGATAATACTGCTCAGATTTTTTTTTATAAAACAAGGAGCAAACGAGCATTAGCTGATCTGATGGTAAATGACTACTGTCGCCTGAGAGCACCCGCAACATCAGAAGCATTGCAGGTGAACAATAAACTATAAAAGTGAACATAAACTTTTTTTTAAATTATGCTTTCAACGTAAATGTCTTGACGGTGTCTTGATTATACCAATTTATCCTTTAAATACTCATCAACGGAATAGTAAACATTAAGTACTAAATAATTGATGTAAATTTTTTTTATTACTGAACACCGTATGAAAGGTGGAAAAGGATTGTTAGCAATGGAGTTTGGCAGTCCTATTGCTAGCAATGTACCTTATTAGGTCGACCTCCACGTGGTTTCCCCTGGAAACCATCGTGAACAATTCTTATTGAATTCGTTACGATGGGCTAACTGACCTACTTCATCCTCACCTATCATCCTTCACTGGTGCCCCGCCGGTGTATACCGATAGCGCGGATAGGGTTACCATTCCATTATCATCTATTAAAAAAAAAACACCGTATGAATGCAACATTTATACGGAGTAGCCAGTAAGTATATAAGTATAATGGTGAATATGCTAGTGCGTGTCAGACGCCATTTCGTACAAAGTTAAAAAATCAATACGAGAGTCATTAATGACCCATTAAATGGAATCTGAAAATGTATATAGATTGAAATCAAAATCGTTAGCATGTTTTTGAGAAGTGCTTTCCTATTCAAACTGAATAATTTCTTTTTAATAGTTTGAAGAAACTTAGGTCGGAATAGAAAAAAAAAGTCTAAATATACCTGTTAGGGGGGAAAAGGGTTTGTTAGTAATGGAGACTAAGAATCCCATTGCTAGCTATATACCCAACCAGGTCGAGCTGCTCGCGGTTCCCCCTGGAAACTATCATGATTAATTCCTGATTAATTCATCATGATGGGCTAACTGACCTGCCTTTTCATCCTCACCAATCATCCCTCACTGGTGCCCCGCCAGCATATCCCGATAACGCAGATGGGGTAACCATTCAATTTTCATCAATTAAAACGAAAAATACTCTAAAAAAGTTCTCTTTCAGCAAACCCAAAGTGGAAAGGAGCATCAATGTTAGCGGGTAGAACCATTAATTAGTTATTTAGTATTTTTATAAATTTTAATTACACAAAATTCAGCCACACACACACAGCCTTCTCTTTGGCTTTATGTAATTAGCTATTTCTATACATTTTCTATTAATTCCTTTTGCATATTGTAGGTAGTTAGTGGGTAAACAAATGTGGCCCTAGCATGTCACATGTCATTGTGGCAGTAGTAAGGTTTCAGCTAAACACATTAGACGCGACCTCGTCTCGAGCCAATGCCACACCGATCTTTGATTTCTATTGTCCACAA